CTCACAGTTACCGTCGAACTAGAATCGGAAACTCTCGCCATTTCTCGAATGCAACTGATGAGACCTCTTGAAATGAAACGGTCACAAGATGGGTTTGGTCGCAGTCTCCCGCAGTTGCACGTTTACACCGGTCCAGTAGCACTGGTTGCAAACGACGCCATCGATTCCTGTAGTGTTATTGGCTGGTCTGCTAGGGAACCCTTTATAACTCCTGCCTAAACAGGCTGTAATCTTGTGGCAGTTTGCTCGACAATCGAGACGCGATTGGAAGCCGCGGCCGGGTTTAAATCACGGGAGGTGATGTACATTGTAATAAACGGAGAAGACTTTGCACCGTCGCTGGTTGGGTCGGCGAGAGAGAAGGGAGACACACCAAGGGCTACTTTTTCCACATTCCCTCGGGTGACCATTAGCTGGAGATGGGTTTCGCTGACGCAAATTAATCTCCCCTTCTCCCCATCCAAGCAATCTTCTTATCTCTCAGGAGCAACGGCAGTGTTGACACGGTCTCGCATTGTGTGTTGAGCCTCAGACATCCCGGTGATCGCCGGAGCTGTTCAATAAACCACGCACTCACCTTGTAGCCGCAGAATTGACTGCGGCGGGTAATTTCTACAGTTAACACCTCAATTCAGTGATTTTCAACTGGGGAGGGGGGGGAGTGGTGTTAAAATCGAAACAAAGAGACATTATTCGCAAACTGGCAGGTCAGAAATGTTTGGGTTTTTTTTTGCACAACAAGGCACACTCGCAGGTAGCAGCTCCCAGCGGAACCGTAGATGAACAGGTCCGCCTTTTCATATTTGAAATCCAGAAGCGCTGGATATATAATGCACTTCAAATCGATGTCTAATCTGAGAGGTGGTGATGGTGTGTGTGTGTGTGGGGGGGTTCCTTAGCGCGAGTGATTTCTCGAAAAGAGCGGTTAGGAGTCCACTGGGGGGAAATAAAGGTTGGAACCTATCTCTCCAACCGCATCTTCACGTTTCAAAAACACACAATCGATACCTTATTGTAAAGCGCTCGGCTCTTTTTTTTTTTTACACATCACGGGTGCACACACACTGTGGCACGCACAGACACTCTTTTAAATCACTACACGCTCTCACCTCATTGGCTGGGATCGCGCCCAGACCACCCAGGCGGCCAATCGGAGCGCCCGATACTGAGAGGTGGGCTAAGCCCCCCCCCCCGCCTCTTTTTTTTTGTGTTACTCCGACCCTCCCCGCAGGAAGGTGGTTTCTGTCTTATCCGGAGAGAGGAGAGGAAAAAAAAAAAAATCTCCCAACATTGATATTTACACACACACACACGCCACACTTAATTCCGAACCATAAATATTTATGACAAAAACACGGATCATCGGGAACGGTCGCTGACGTTTTATACAAAAAAAACACGCAAAAAAGTGGCACATACTTCCCCCTTGCCTCTAGTTCCCTGCCTTGTTTTTTTTTTGACGTTGTTGCGGTGAGCGCTCCCAAAACACTGATGTTGTAGAACAAGCGAAAAGGTAAGTCTTCAAATTCACCAGCGTGTGTACTTGGCGAACGGTGGGCAGTCTGGGGAGGACGAGACGGTGAATTTCCGGCTGGTTTCATTGAAAATAAGGGCTCGCCAGCGGTAGTGGTAGTGGTGGTGGTGGCGGGGGAGAGATCCGTGTTTTTCTTTTACAATTCAGGCTGGTGTGCTAGTTTGAATGAAAGGGACCAGACCCCTCTCTCTGTATTGTTATGATCATCCTCCTCATCTTCTTCTTCTTCTTCTTCTTCTTCTTTGGGGAAACTGTGTTTTTGTGGTTTGTTTGCCCTCAGAAACGGCGACAAAAGAAGCAAGCTTTTGATAGAATCGGCACGGTGGTACCAAAAAAAAATAAATAAAATAAACCGATCCATCTTTCTGACATGTGTTAAAGCGGGTCAGCCGGGGAATGTTTTCCGTTTAGTGGTTTTGGAAGGTTTTAGTTTTATTTATTTTTTTTGGTCGCCTGGTTTGTCAGTAGTAACAGTCAAACGCACTTCTGCTGGGTAATTGTTACATTGACCTGCGAGTCTTGCGCACCCACGAGGTGAATTTCGGTGTTTTATTTATTTATTTTTATTTTTATCACCTCGTGGGTTTTTTTAAGGGGGGGGGGGAGGACCAAAGCATTTTGTTGTACAACCCGGACAAAAACAGAACAGAAATCAGTCTTTGAACTGTGCGACACCCCCCCCCAGTGCCTTGAACGTGCTTGGAAACATTTGGTAAAACTCGTTTCTTGGGAAGTCGTGTGAAGAGCAGCCGCATGTTTTTTTCGAGACGTCTTAAGCCCTCACTTAAATCGAAATAGAAGAAGAAAAATTCCTTCAAAACCAACCAAACACAAGAGCCAGGTTGTCCGAACCCCGTGTTAATTGGCCCTGGCAGGCTGGTGCTGATGTCAGTGTTGTTAAATGGTCCCCTTGTCAGTTTCTTCACACGATGGCTCAGTCATTGTTCGGCAGCGCTAAGCCGGGGTCCAGAGACGGACGGGGTCCGTCCGGTTGACGTTACTGGGGGGGCTGGACGGGAACAGGACGGTATTCGCTCTCTGGAAGGGAGCCAAGCCCGGCCAAGCCACCGGCCGGGAGGTGTCTGAGCGAAACGCCGTTGTGTTTTGTGTATATTATGAATGGCTGCGTGCACTCGGTTTCACCCCTCACGCATGCTGCGCACGATTGCCATTGTGAGCCGGCTCACGGGGGGAGGAGATAGCGTAAGACAAACGCGCTGTGCGGTTTAAAACAATCTCAGCTCCCTGTTCCCCATCGCGGAGGGCGAGAAGCGTATTGATCGTGTCAATAAGTGTCTGGGGTGTCGGGGGTGGGAAAAAAAAAGGAAAAGTCCTTAAGACGCCCTCCGCTGCCTTTAGTCCAGACCCTCCTTGCCTACGGAAACTGGAGCTGCCTCATGAGTAGTCTCTGAGATCATTAAAGTCAACAGTTTAAAGATGGTGGATCGTTTGTGTTAAAGATATTAAATCGTGGAGTCGATCTGATGTTCTATTGTTCCAGTTCCCCCCCCCCAGTTGTGTTCAGGATAAGGTTGCATCGGGATATTCTCTTGCTCGCTTGCCTTGCTTCTCCCAAGCTTATTTTTTAAAAGTTTACTCACTCAGACTTGTGTGTTTGTATGTTTGGGGGTGTGTGTGTGCACTGATGTAATTTTTTGCCCTCATGTGTCAGTGTTATAGAAACAAACCTATTTTTTTTCACCTTTTCTTTAATGAAACGTGCTGGGACAGTGAGAGGATGAAGGGCTTTGTTCACAAAGTTCTGTTGTTAAGCGAGGAGGGGACGGGCCGATTTTGAGTTTTAACACTTGCAATGTGCTAAACCGCACCGAGAACCTGTGGTTTAGGGGAGAGGAGTAAAATTACAGCACGCAGGAATGAAGAACTCTGCGTCTTATTTTAGTGAAGGACGGTTTCCCGCTGTTTCCTGCTAAAACAAGCCTTTACAACCCCCCGTGAGATTATTGTAAGATCCTGGGCCCCCAGTATTTTTTTGTTTGTTTATGTACACAGTCTCTTCCGGGATGTGCAGAGACCAGGCCGTTGAGGAGACACTTGCTGGTACTGGAACTTTCAACAGCGCTTGTTTGTTTTACAAACGAGAGGAGACCGTTCGTTGGGTCCAGCCAGCCCTTTTGGTAGTTAGTGAACTGTTCCCAGGATCTCCCCCTGCTGTTTCTTGAAAGAAGTCACGGTATGGGCTTCCAACAACATGACTGAGCTGCTTGTTCCACGCCCCCACAGCCCTTAGTGTAAAGAAGTGCTTCTACCTTCTCGGTTTTAAATCCACCTTCACATATAAGATTTCCAGAAGCCCAACAGCATGACAAGCTAGCTTGTTCCGTACTCCCACATCTCTTTGTCGTCATCCTCGTGGTCTCGAGCTAAAATGTGCTTAGTTGGCAGTGGTGTCCTCTGGTCTGTTTCACTTTTGAACCTGAAGCAGTGCTTTGGGTTGAGTTTGTATTTCCCATGGGAAACTTTCGCGCTTTCCTCTGTGTATTTGACTAAGCAGTAAGTTATTGTTACAGAACAGAAAAAAATACTTCACAAGGCGCTGCGTGCAAAATGAGCCTGGTGGTAGTATACATCAGAGAATTCGACTAGTCAGGCTTCTACTACTCTTTGCTTCTGCTACAAGACTAAGTGAGCCAGTGTGTAAACATTTCCGTGGATCCTCTTTGAAGGAAAAGGTTTTTGCTGAGACCAGTTTAATTTAGTGCTATTGCAAGGCAAGAAGAAGTCCGGAACCACAAAGGCTATTTGGCCTGTCTTGCTTTGTTTTGGTTGCCTGCAGCTCATCCAGGTGTGGGCTGAAGGACTGTAGCGTGTTGGGATTCACCGGCTTGGCCTGGCAGCTCGGCTGGGACACCTCTTCTTCGTGTGCGAAGGAGCCCCTCTTAATTTCGGCTCTGGGGCTGTCCGTGCCACATGTAGCCTGTGGCGACGGCATCGTGCTGTGAAACATAGAGGCTTGTTGGAGGGGAAAGGGAAATCGGAGGAGAACAGTTGTTCGGAACGGTTGTCGAAAATTTCGGTTTGTATTTATCTCTGGAAGACTAAATCTGGTTTGTGTGGAGGGTGTTGACTTCATGCCTTTTTTTAAATCTGACCTCTGGTATGTAGGAGGAGGCAAGAAATGGGATGGAACTGTAGTGGCCAGTCTTGAGCTGCCATTAATGAAAAGGCAGTAAGTGGAGCTAGTGAATGCTCCTGCTGTGCTGGCTAGCAGCGAGATGTGATTTTTAAGTTGCTGTTTTCAAAAGCCGGTAAGCGGATGTTAAGCAAACCTGTTGAAGTGCGCCCAAGGAGAAGCTGTGTTTTTCACACATGAGCAAGACAGCGAAACGCGTTAAAATTCATTTGCAAAGAGCAGTGTGGCTTAATTTGAACATCCCCACTGTCTTTTTAAAAGGAGTTTCTTGGTTCTTTCTCCTGAGCGCAGGCAGTTTTCTTTGGAGTACGTCCATCACCTTGCAGTACTGCTGGGTTTGCGCTGTTTTAATGTTCAGGCATGTAGCCTGTTAAAGGCAGCAAATTGAGCAAGTGTACTGTTTAGCATACAAGAAAAGGCTCTTGACAGGTGTGCTGTTTAATTATGCAGCTGAGGAATCATGAGGTGTGTTTGTTCGACCTTTATAGTGATAAATAATGAATTGCATAACACTGGTATTACTGCGCTCACACATCTTTCTAGTATTATGTATGAAATATGTTGTAGCGGTAATAACACATGGAGTAGATGGCTGATGCTGTCATTGAAATCCATTAACAAGTTTTGTTGTGCTTGAGTAGCCTGCACTGTGCCTGTTTTGCTTTATGGTTCGTGCTATAGCAGTGTACAGAAATAGCATTGTCTCTGGCAAAGACACCTCCAATCTGCTTTGCAAACAACTGTTACAGTTTGGATAAGCATCTGTTGGCCTTTTAATAAATAATGAAAATCTATTTATTTTTCTTGCTTAATTTCCAATGTTGTTGCAGGAAATGTGTGAGTCGAAAGTTTAATTTAAAGTAAGCTTGACAAGGATGCCATTTTTTTACATCAACCCTGCGAAGCTATTTTGTTGGCATTGTTTTGCTTTTGCAAATCAACAGGCTGTTTACGCAGCTTTTGTTAAGAAGGGTAAAATGAATTGGATGCATTAGTGCGCACCCATTATTGACCATTCTAGATTTGCTTAAGGGCATGGAGGCACATTGTAATGGGAATGTGGAAAACTGCACTTAAATTGTGTCATGAGATCACATTCTGGAAGCATTGACAAACTGGTAAGTGACTTAATTTAAAAAAAAAAATTCATCTGTATTTTTTGTTGCGGTTAACAAATTTACCACGTCACAACAATCAATATTTCTGTCAAGGCACTGTTACAGACTGGCTTTCATACAGAGATTATTGAGAACATTTTCTGTAGTATAAAATAGCTAGGGGTTGTTAAATGGCGTCACTGAGCTGCGAGCCATTTTTGAAGGCTTTGTGAAAAAGCAAGCCTTAATCAGATTACACAGGGTAATTTATTCGTATGAACACAGTAATGAAGTTTATCTTCTGGGAGCCATTTGATGCTGGACTGATCTTGCTGTGCTTTTGGTTTCACAAATAGAGAACACAAGACAGGTTGCAAACAAAGAGGTCGTTCGTCCTATCTAGTTTATTTGGTTGCTAGTAGCTAATTGATCTGCGGATCTAATTTACTTGTTTCGAAAGAAGCCAGGATATCACCTTTCCTCACATGGAGCTTGTGCCATCCTTCCACATACCTTTGTGTAAAAGAGTACATAGTCTTGTCTGCACAGTCTAATGTAAATAATCTGTGGGCACCATTATAGAATTCACTTTGTAGTGCTGTGATCAAGATCTGAAGGTTTGGTTGAAAGTCTTGCAGGTTTACTCCTAACGTAAGCTTCAATTAAACCTAATTCATCCAAACCGACTTTTAATTTTGTCGGACGTCGCCTGTAAGTATATAATAAAA